TCACCGACGATAGTTGGTGTGAAAGTCACTTTCGCGCCGAACACAAATGTTTACCGTCCGGTCGATTTCAGGTACCGCTGCCGACATGTAAACCGGTTTCGGAGCTATCATTCCCTGGATCACGTGCCATAGCGCTAAAACGGTTTGAGTCTCTTGAACGAAAGTTGATGTCTAACAACCCTTTACGTGTGGCGTATTGTGATTTTATGTCCGAATATTTGTCGCTCGGACATATGTCTGTGGCAAAAATACCGGGGCGATACATTATCCCCCACCATGCCATGTGCAACCAGTCTAACGGAGATTTAAAAATCCGCGCGTTGGCCGCGATTTCCGAAGAAGATTGCTCCGGTCACGAGAGTATACGGTAGGCGTTATTGCAACAAACTTACGTTGACGATATGTGTATAGATGCTGATACGACTAACGATGTCCTAAAGCTCCAGTGTAATGTAATCACGGTGCTCAATAAATCAGGTTTAGAGCTGAAAACCCGGTCTAGTAACTGCCCCGCGATCCTCGACAGTTTACCCGCCAGTAGTACCAACTTCGTTCCCGACACAATCCATCCATCGCCTCGATTGTTGTCCGTTGCGGTCTGCCGGTTGGTAGCAGTACTTATTTACGCTGCCATCTAGGAGTCAGGTGTAGCGACTGTCAGTTGGACCCTTATCACCACCACCCGAGATAAGATTATTTTATTTAACCATTGTTCGTTAACATTAATAACAATAAGTTTTGTTTATCATTCTCTGGGCCTTTATTTTCCTCGAATATCATCATCCCCTCCTTTCACTATAATTTATAATATTCTTCAGAGCGCACGTTCGCGAGTGTCGCGCGGCCGGCTGGCGATAAATATTTTTCAAAGACTCCGCGACGGTGCGTACAAACAAATATGAAGCAACCAATACAGATGAAATTGACTCAATGTCGTTGTGTCAACCTAGTCCTAGTAACAGGGACGGATTAACTTTTGAAGAATACATATATGACTCTCAAGAAACTGTTGTTAGTGAACCTAAAACTGCCAAATTGCCAAACCTACCAACAGCAACTAGGACTCTAAGTACAAGAAAAAGAGATAAGCTGCCATCTATTACAAGTTCCCCAGTGATAAATCATCTTGAAAAAAAAAAGAATTTAAAAGAAGAACTGATGAAAGCAAAGGAAGAAAGAAAATTAAAACGGCTGGAAAAAAATAAAACAAAAAACACTAAATTATTAAAAAGAAAAACAGTAAAAAAGTCTTTATTTCAACTACCTGAATCATCTGAAGATGAGGAACCTCAATATGTAGACACTGATAATGAGGATTCAGCAGATGAAGATTGCCTGTATTGTAACGAACCTTATAAGAATGATGTACATGGAGAGAAATGGATTCGTTGTATTAAATGTGTAAGATGAGCACATGAATTATATGCAGGTGTAGATGTACGATGGACATTCGCACGTGTTTTTGCTCCGCCGAAAGGTTCTTCGGTACCATCTTGGCACACAGTTTTTTCATGGACAAATCATCAGTTAAAATTTTTCTAACGGTTTCTCGTTTCAAATTAAGTTCATCAGCCAATATTCGAACGGTTAAACGCCGATCTTGACGCACGAGAGTGCGCACATGCTGAACATTGTTGTCAGTTCGAGATTCAACCGGTCTCCCACTTCGCGGTTCATCCCCGACGCTTTCACGACCATTTTTAAAATTTTTATGCCATCGAAACACCTGAGCACGACTTAGGGCTTCATCACCGAACACTTTCACCAATTTACCGTACGTTTTCATAACGGAATCACCGAGTTTAACGCAAAATTTAATCGCGTACCGCTGTTCAATATTACGTTGTTCCATATTTGTGACACGCCTTACAAACACGTTGTCAAAAACAAAACACAACTGGAAAACTAATTATCGTACGAAAATCGCGATAACATGCATCGATAGAGGAGAGATGAGAGATTAACCGAACGAAGTTTCAGATTCGTAGTGTTACCACAAGCGTGGCAAAAAAAACAGTCTCATTACTTATTGGTCAGACCTCGTAATCATATGTAATAATTATGTATAATATCATATGTAATAATTATATGTAGGTGTATAATGTAATTTTAGGTGTGACTGAAGAGTTACTAAGAAAAGGTATTTTTTTATTTTAGCTACCTGAAATGGTTATATCTCTAGGTTAATTTTTAAATTTGACTGAGAAAGTTACTGAAGCAATTATGAATTTATACTTTTGATTATTAAATTGTTAAGTTTTAAATACCATAATGTTTAAATCAAATTTATGCTGTTTATATCATATACCTACTAAAAAGTATTTTAATTATGTAATTACTAATACAATCATACTTAATTGTGACTGATAGAAGTTCCTAAGAATTGGTTTTTTTTTATTGGATTTTTAAGTTTTAAATAATATAATTTTAAACTAAATACCTACATTTTTATTTTGTTTGTAACATAAAGTTACTATAATTTTTTTTAATTATGTTCATTGTTATTACCTACTTAAATTGTGAAAGTTCCTAAGAATTGGAATTTTTTATTTTTTGTTTTGTTTAAATGAGAACTTAGTTTTTTATTATAAATTCTAAAATTTCTGAATAATTATATTGTTAATTTTGAATAAAGGTTATTGAATTATTTGAATTTGTTTGGTCATTAGTATTTATCAAATACTTATTTGCATTATTTTGAGAATTACAACTTTCATTGTGCATACAATTTTTATGAAACATTTTAATAAAATAAAATTATTAAATTAATTCATTAAACATAATTTAATTAAAAATAATATTCATTAATTTACTTTGAGTATTTTATTATAATGTGTTTAATATTATCATAGATTGATTTATTATTTATTCTATATTTCATTGATTTATTAATGTAATAATAAACACCAGTCAACTTACCCCAGAGGAACGTCAACTTACCCCAGGTATGGGGTATGGGATTCAATCAATCCTTAGGTTCGTCAACTTACCACACTCTCCCCTAATTGATGTTCTTAGAGACAAGTTTATAACGGGTATGTGATATTGAAAAATTAAAGACCGGTTATGCGAAGAAGATATATCTAAAAAGCTAAACAAAATAGTAAAATTAGCAATGCAGAAAAAAGTAACTACGAACCAAAAGTTGCAGTGGAAGTACACAAATTAAAAAAATAGGACAGATCAAAAGATGTAAAGAAGAAATTTGAAGCATCAGAATATGGGCAAATAACAAATAAGAAAAAACCAACAGACTTTTCAGACAACAGTAAAGGTTCAGATTAAAGAAAATGTATTACATGCGGCTTATGTAACCATAGGTTTAGTAATTGTAAATATAAAACTTATAAATGTAAAATTTGTAATAAAGTAAGACATTTAGCTAAAATATGTAAAAACAAATCCAAAAACCATTATGTAGAAGTAGAAACTGAGACAGAATCAATAAAAATGTTTTAATTAAAAGTAGGTTATAAAAAAGTGTAGAGCCATATTTTGTAAAAATTAAAATTGAAAAAATACAAATAGACATGGAATTAGACTCTGGGGTAGGAAGATCTATAATTCCTTTTAAATTGTATAAAAAATATTGGTCTAAATTAAAAATTATTCCCAGTTTAATTAAATCAAAAACTTACAATGGAGAAACAATAAATCCAGTTGGAGAAGTTATGATTGATATGAAATATAAGAATAAGAAGGAGCAATGTAATTTACTAATAGTAGTAAATGGATTTACGACGGTCTATACGATTTAAATGACACCTCGAAAATTGGTCGAATTTTAGAAGTAGATATATCATACCCGAAAGAACTCCATGACTTACATAATGACCTTACTTTCCTTTCGAATAATGTTATACCATCAAGCTCAAAAATAAAAAAGCTTATGGCCACACTTAATCATAAGAAAAATTATATTATACACTATAGAAATTTACAACAGGCTATAGAAAACGGATCGGTAGTTGAAAAAGTAAACATTTGTTTTTATTTTTACTTTATATATTTTATTTTATTTATCATTTAATTATTTTAGGTACATAAAGTGATTCAGTTCAATCAGTTAGTTTTTAATTTAGTTATTTTTTTCTTTTATTATAATGTAGATTAATATTGGAGAATTTTCGAAAATTGTTTGTAGAGAAAGGTTTGCAAGTTTACAAGGTATAGGTGTGAAACGTGTAAGGCATTTAGGACTGTTAAATACTGAAGCAAAATCCCCTTTTAATAACAGAGGTAAACATTTAAACAGAGCCAATGCAAAATCTAATGAAGTTATTCAAAATATTGATAATCATATTAATAGTTTCCCATTCAAAATTAGTCACTATGGGTGCAAGGGTGAAAGAATGAGGTATTTGCCTACAGATCTAAGTATTGTAAAAATGTATACTTCATTTTTAAGAAAAATATTATCCAGCCGATTTTTCATTGATATTACAAGAAGAAGAGCCTACAACTTTGAAATGTGATGTACGTTACCATTTTTTCTTAAGACATTTTAAATCAATTACAATAGTTTGGACTTCCAAGAAAAGACATTTGTGTGACATGTAGTGAATTAAAAGCAAGTATTGAGTTAGAAAATTTACCAGCACTGAAGAGAGAACATATACGTAAGTTAGAAGTCCATAAAAGAAAAGCTAAAAAATTTTGTTTGAAACTGGGCGAAATTACAAAAATAGCTAAAGAAAATGATGAAGTTGATGTGCTTTGCTTTGATTTCAAACAACATATGCCTTTACCACATTTGCAAACATCAGATGTTTTTTATATGCGACAACTTTGGCTATATGTAATGTTTATATATTCAGGGAAAACTGGTAAAAGCATTATGTATTGTTGGTCTGAAATAGAAGCTAAACGTGGGACAAATGAGGTTATATCTGTATTGAATCACTATATAAATTCATTTTTAAAACCAACAATTAAAAAGTTATTCATTTTCACTGACAATTGTAGAGGGCAGAATAAAAACCACACAATGCTTAGATACTGGCAAGCACTTGTAATAAAAAACAAGTTTGAAATTATAACCCATTACTTTCCAGAAAGGGGTCATAGCTTCTTACCCTGTGACAGACATTTTAGAATAATTTAAAAGTTACAAAGAAGATGTGAATGAGCAGAAACTATTGATGACTGGGTGGAATTGATTAATATGAAATTTACAGTTGTTCATTTTCCGGATATATTAGTGAAGGATTATGTAACAGAGTTAGAAAAATATTTTAAAAAAAGAGTGACTTGTACCAACATGAGAAGTCTTGTATTTCAAATATCAAAATATAAATGTTACGCATTTTATAATAACACAAATACAATAGAAGCTCATATAACTATTGATGGGTTAATCTGTAATGAATTCAAACTTTTAAAATCAACAACAAAAGCCAGAGATATAAAATTACTAGAAGTTTCAATATACACTGTTAGTTAAGTTAGTTAAGTTAGGTATTAAAAGTAAAAAACTAAATATTCTAAGCATTACAAAGTATTTAAAAACTAACAAAGCTATTGACTTTTATAAGTCTATAAAAGTAAACGATTCAAATGCTAATGATAAATTTGACTGTGATGACTGTTTTTATTTGTAATAATATTTGATTTTTTTATAAATTTGAATAGAGAAGATATAATACATTACTTTTAAAATTTTTATTCACTTGTTAATATATTGTTATTTTCAACTGGTTATTTCAAGCTAATATTTTTAATAAGGATTTATTGTTTTTGTTTATAATATTATTTAATTTTTATATATTGTTACACTTGTTGAATAGTAATTAAGTTATAAAGTAAGACCATAAGTTATAAGTTTTAATATAAAGTAATAATAAATTGTTCGGATAAAGGTATATCCATATTCTAAATTTTAATTTCTTTATTTTATCATAAAATAAAATATACATTTTGTCTATTAATGGTTTAATTAATACTGAATATTACCTAACCTTCTATTAATATTTATTAGGAAAATAAATAATTTACAAACATTACTATTTTTGCCTTGCTCAGTTATTAAGTTTCATGGGTCATTCTGTTACTAATATATTTTTAAATAATCTAAATTTACAGACCTTTATAGGTAAAAAGTGTATTAGGTAGTTTGACAACAATACATTAAGATATCCATGATATATAAATGGTTATCTTTTGAAAATACTATAAAAATAAAGTTTTCATTTGAAAAAAAGGCCCAAAAATCCAACTTTTATAACGATTTATATAAAAATTTGGCAATTTTTTTTTTTTTAGCCTATCTAATAATTTTTAACTTAAGAAATCTTTTCTTTCAAAAAATATGAAATTGTAAATATAGACTGAATTAAACTATTTTTTCTTGCTACTGTAAAATTGTAAATAATATATTTGGGTCATTTGTTTTAATAATGTAATTATTACATTTTTTTTTTACTAACAGATGCCACATGTAGTACAAGTTATCAGCTAGAACCATATGAAACTGAAGAAGGAAGTAGCATTCAGTTTATTACAACCAGTAGTAATATACTTTTATAAAATAATGTGCTGCTACTTAATGACCAAAATATACATTGTAATACAAGTATTGCAAATATTGAAGCTATATTTAATAATAAACAACGGTACAGAGGAGGTAAACGGAAACGTATGAATAAGCGTAAGCAACTTGGAGAAGAGTATAAAGATCAAAAGGGTGAAACTAAAAGTATCAAAGTTTTTAAGGTTCTTACAATCACATGTTGTAAAAAAAAGTTGTTCTACGTTACTTTGTTCTGAAGAAATACAAAAATTGATTTTTTGACCAATTTTAAAATTGTCAGCACAAGATCAGATTTAAATTAATGCTATTCACATAGAAGATAA